TGTGAGGTTTCCACTGAAAAGTCTGCTGCCAGATATATTGGAGCTCCATTGTTTGTTATTTGATTCTTTTCTCTCACTAATTTTGAATGTTTTCTTTATTCTTGTCCCTTGGGTTTTGATTATTAAATGCCTTGAAGTAGTCTTCTTTGGGTTAAATCTTCTTGGTGTTCTGTAACCTTCTTGTGCTTGAATATTGATATCTTTCCATGGGTTTGGGGAGGTCTCTGTTATTTTCACTTTGAATAAATTTTCTACCCTTGTCTCTTTCTATACCTCTTCTTTAAGGCCAATAACTCATAGATTTGCCCATTTGAGACTAAATCTAGATGCTGTGGACATGCTTCATTATTTTTATTCTTTTTTCTATTGTCTCCTTTGACTGTGTATTTCAAATAGCCTGTCTTTAAGTTCTAATTCTTCTGCTTCAACAATTTTGCTAATTAGACACTCTGAGTCATTCTTCAGTATGTCAATTGCATTTTTCAACTCTAGAATTTCTGCTTGATTCTTTTTAATTATTTTGATCTCCTTGTTAAATTTATCTGACAGAATTCTAAATTCCTTCCCTGTGTTATCTTGAATTTCTTTGAGTTTCCTCAAAACAGCTATTTTTGAGTTCTCTTTCTGAAAGATTACATATCTCTGTTTCTCCAGAATTGGTCCCTGGTGCCTCATTTATTCTATGTGGTGAGGTGATGATTTGTTAGATGATCTTGATACTTATAGATATTTGTCAGCTTCTGGGAATTGAATTAAGGTAGTCATTTCAGTCTGGGCTTGTCTGTACTTCTCTTTCTCAGGAAGGCATTCCAGCTATTCAAAGGGACTTGGTTGTTGTGATCTAAGTTATATCTCCATTGGTAAGCACCCCAAGCCCAGTAATGCTGTGGTTCTTGCAGACTCGTAGACATAGCACCTTGGTGGTCTTGGATGAGATTCAAAACATTTCCCTGGGTTACCAGAGAGAGACTCTTACTTTTTACCCTTAATTTCTCCCAAGCAAATGGAGTCTCTCTTTCTGTACTGAGCTGCATGTAGCTGGGGGTGTGGTGACACTAACATCCTGTGTCTACCTCCACGGAAACTGGGTCAGACCCGAAGCCAGCACAGCACTGGGTGTTGCTCATGGTCTGGAGTAACCACTACTTGACTACCACCTATGTTTGCTCAAGGCCCTAGGGTTCTTCAGTAAGGATAGCTAGGTTTGTTTCCTTCCCTTTAAGGTGGTGAGTTGCCTTAGGCCCCAGGTAGGTCCCGAGATGATATCCAGGAGTTAGGGACTAGAGCAAAGAAAACTTTAGAATTCTACCTGGTGTTCTATTGTACTGTGACTGAGCTGCCTCTCAAACCACAAGATGCAGCCCTTTCCACAGGCTGAGGGGCCTCTCTCCATGGCCACCACCACAGATCCATTGGGATTACTGCCAGGCTACTGCTGATGTTCCTTTAAGGCCTAAGGGCTCTTCAGTCAGCTGGTGGTGAATGCTTCCAGGCCTGGGACTCACTGTTCATGGCAATGGGCTCCCCTCTGGCCCAGGGCATGGCCAGAAATGCTGTCCAATAGCCAAGGCCTGAAATCAGGGACCCCAGAAACCCATTTGGTGCCTTACCCCACTGAGATCAAGCTGGTACCTGAAGCCAGTACATCTGAGTCTCCCCTGAGGCCTACAGCATACTACTTGGGTATTACTTCTGGTTCTTCAGAGCTCAAGGGCTCTTTAGTCAGCAGGTGGTGAATCCTGCCAGGACTGGGTTTTTCCCTTCAAGGCATTGGCTTCCCTTTTGGCCCAGGGAATGTCTAGATATGTCATCTGGGAGCTATGGCCTGTAATGAGGGCCCTACAACTATGCCCAGAGCGCTATCCTACTGTGGCTGAGATGGTATCAAAGATGCAAGACAAAGTCCTTTTTATTCTTCCCTCTCTTCTTCTCAAGCAAAAAGAATAAGTCACTTTTGTTGCTGCAAGTGGTGCTGTCTGGGGTTGGAGGAGGGGTAATGCAAGCACTTCCTTAGCTGCCCTGGCTGGTGTTTCATGTCCACTGGCTCTGCATTCAGCACAGTACTCGGACTTGCCTAGGAATTGCAAGATTTCTTTTCAAATTTATTGAGGACCCCAGAGCACTTCAGCTTGTGATGGCAAGGCTTGCCAAAACTCGAGTTCTGACCACTGGGATGGGGAGTACCCTCTGGCTGGGGCTGGTCTAGATGCTTCCTCCATGGGTGGGTGTCAGCTGATTTTAGTTGGGTTTTATTTTCTGCTGTGACAGGGCAGCACTTAGTTGAATGCAGAGTCCCAGAGTTGCTGTGCTGTCTCTCCCCCCAAGGACACAGATTCTCTTTCTATACCTTGCGGTCACTGCCAGGGCGTAGAGGAAGGGTGCCATCTGTAATTCAAGACTGTCTTTCCTACCCTCCTCAGTGCCTCTTTCAGTGATATTAAGTTAAAACAAGGTACTGTGATTGCTCACTTGATCTTTGGCTCTTATGAAGGTGTTTTTTGTATAGATAGTTGTTAAATTGGTTTCCTGTGGGAGGGATGATAGATAGTCAAGTCTCCTATGTGGCTCTCTTGCTGTGCCCTCTCCTACAATTTCTTATTCATCTAATTTCCTTTGTTAGCTCTTATCTGCTTGAACTAACTAGAATGAATTTTTGTTAAGTTCATTTCTGGTACTATAACAACGACAACAACAAACAATCAAAACAGAAACTGAGTAGCTTATAAATAATAGAAATTTATTTCTCACATTTACAGAGTCTGAGAAGTCCAAGATCAAGGTGCTAGCTAATTCAGTATGTGGTGAGAGCCCGCTTTTTGGTTCACAGAAGGTGCCTTCTCACTGCATCCTCACATGGTGGAAGTGACAAATGAGGTTTTAAAAATCTCTTTATAAGGGCACTAACCCCATTAATGAGAGCACCATCCATCATCATGACCAAATTACCTCTGAAAGGCCCTAACTGCTAATACCATCACCTTGGGGATAGGACTTCAACATATAAATTTTAGGGGACACAAACATTCAGACTTTAGCAGAATTCTGTTGTCTACCTGCAGGTGAAATTTGAGTTACACAGTAATTGCTTCATCAAGTGGTTGCCAGTAATTAATATTCAAATAAATCTTAATATTTGGTTGGCTATGTGGCCAGGGTCTAATTATCATTAAAAGATAGGATTTGTTTCCATAACAACCAGTGGTAAAACATTTAAATTATGTCTTGTGATAATCCTAGAATGAAGTCCTATTAAAGATAAAGCTATCTAGATTGAGTGACTGCTGTGATAGTCCATTAATGGTAATTCAAGCAAAAAAGACTGTGTGGGTGGAATGGCTACCTCAAACTGTACTGCAGAGCTTTGAATGCATCGAAATATCACCAGAGAACCAAGAGATTTCTATGATTGCCTTAAGATGATATCTTATCTCCTATGTGAGCAGAGTTGAAGAAGTACAAATTCAGAAGCTTTCTGATTTCTAGGTTTTATATAAAGGAGCCCAAGATGGCCTCTGTATATTGGCCATATGTTGTTTACTTCTTTATAACAGGCTGAAGTCTGTTAACTCAAAAGTTTGACACCACTAAACTCTAACTTATATATATCCAGTTGTTTTAAACATACCCCCAATATGCAGAGTTTTAGCCATTTAGAGCCTCTTGGTTTTCCATATTCCACGAAAATGTACCAAACACTTAGTAGACAGAGATAAGATAAACCCTGTAGATATAAAAGATGCCAATTCTAACCTTTGGAAGTGTTGGACTCCTCAGAGATTCACTGTAGGACTGCTGAACATTACCTAAAACATAAGCTTCCTCCCTGATCTCTCGCTTTCTCCTGGGAGTTCTCTTGCCCTTGTCTCACTATGAACAGTGGTCCCTGTGCTGTATCTCTTGGATGTTCTCATGCTCTGAGGTCCTTTTCTCTACCCCAAAACTTGTTAAAGTGTTTCCCAGATAATGCTGATGTTAAGCTCATAGTATGCTACTGCCACCTCATTGTCTTTTTTTTTTTTTTTTCTTTTTTTGGAATCAGTCCCCACATTCATCACACTTACTGTACCAGGGTAGTTGAATTGTACTGCAGATCACATTCATAACTACAATAATTCTCTTGAGTAAAAATTAATTTACTTCTTGAAAATGAGAAGGATCTGGAAAGTTAATCAATTGGACAACTATGGATTCCCTGAATCTCCTGTCAATCTACCTCCTATGCCAGCAGAAGCAACCTTTCTTTCTCACTCATACGTCTAGTTTTTTTGCATCCAGTAAATGCCTCACTTGAAACAATTATCTTGCAAGAGAATTCAAATTGTTCTCATTTCAATATGTCTACTTCCATTTTTTTGCCTCAAGGCCTATAAATTGTGTCAGGTTTCACTGTGACCTAGGGAGTCATTTACAAAATAAACCAGGTTCCACACCAAAAATAATTGCAACATTTTGCTAATATAGCAAGAAAAAATCTGGAGAATTTATGAAAATGGCCTCTGAGATTATAGACAATGATGGGAAGGATATCATATTTGGGTAGGCTTTTTGCTTGTTATTGTTAATATGGGCTTATACAACTAGAGGTTATTTAACTCAAAATTCTTCATTTAGAGTTCTAGTTTGAGAAAATACGAGTGCTGCTAAATGTTTTCTCAGTGGATTGATTAAAACTTGGGCTCCATATTGGCCTATGATAAATGAAACTGAGATGCCAGTGCACTCGTCTGTTCAGTGTAGCACTTTTCACAATAGCAAAGACATGGAATACACATAGGTCCCTGTCAACAGTGGATTGGATACGGAAAATGGTATACATATATAACATGGAATACTTGACAACCAGAAAAAAGAACAAAATCATGTCCTTTGCAGCATCATGGATGCAGTTGGAGGTCATCATGTAAACAAATTAATGCAGGAAGAGAAAACCAAATACTAAATGTCCTTATTTACTAGTGGGAGCTAAACACTGGGCACTCATGGACATAAAGATGGCAACAGTAGACACCAGAAACTACTAGAGAAGGGAGGGAAGGAAGTGTCACGGATTGAAAAGTTAACTACTGGGTACTATGATCAGTCATTGGGTGGGATCATTAGTACCCCAAACCTCAGCATCACACAATATGTCCATGTAACAAATCTGTACATGTGCACCCCACATCTAAAATAAAAGAAGAAATTATTTTAAAAATTATTAAAGAAAAGAAATAGAGATATCAGAATTTCCTTAGTATAATGGAGAAACTTGGGGAAATAGGATGGCTGAAGTAAATTTTCTCTGAGAGGCAATTGACTCAATCACCCTGTAGTTCTGTTTTCTGAGAGGTCCTAGTTTATAGCCCCTTCCCCACAGAATTGAGAAATAAATTAGTATAGATAAATGTATTAGTAGAAACCCTGTAGTGCCTGTTCTCTGTAGACCAAGGATAAAGATGAGAAATAGTGACGCTGAAACAGACTGTCTGATTTCAATGGGGTTATAGAATCCCTTGGTAACAGAGGCAAAGTAGCAGCACTTAATGAAAAGGGACAAGATTATAACAGTTACTCTAACAGGCAGCAGAGCCAAAGTGGTAATAGAAATGCTTTGATCTGCAGTTATTTTTGGCAATAACTAATTGATCATTACATTTCTAGAACTGAAATAGATGAACATTTCATTAATTCTCTACTTGACCTGTATTATCAGAAACGATAAAAATTTATCTATATTAGAAAGGTCAAAGTGGAAGACTTTGCAACTGGAGAAATTTTCAGAAATATAAGTCTATCGTAATTATAAACAGGGAATTTCTTAAGCCACATGGACAGAAACTCGGAGAGTAAGTTATAATCTTGATGACAAAAAGATCTGGGGAGAAGACTCATGAATGAATCTCTTGAAATAATCCCAGAATGGGAGATTGTTTGCTTTTTGTGTAAATGGTCATCTAATAGAATCCTCTTCTGAGCAGACTCTTGGTCAGGTAGATCACATGATCACACTGTGGATGTCTGTTTCTTTCTTTAACTCTTCCATTTCATGACCATTGAGCTCATAAACAAAGTGGGGATAATGGTGGAGACTCAAGATTTCTCCTCACTGAAGTTTTTGCCTGGCTTCTTACATTGTAGTGTGCCAAATATGGCATTTACAGGGAAGAATGGTGAACCCTTGTGTCACATCATATTACATGAGACAAATCAGCCACCTGGGAACAAGTGAACCCATTTCATTACGTAAGTAGAAATTTTTTATGCTAGAACTGACTTAGGTTCTGAAAGTAGATGAAGCTACTGAATAAATCTATTGAATACCATAAAATATTCAATAAATAACTACATGAGAATAATTCATATTATCCCCACAAATCTAATAAGCATTATTGTATGAGTCTAAGCCATCTGTTTATTTTATGTCAAATAAAGTTCTAAGAACTAGAGCAAATGCAAATTGAAAGTTTCTCAAAGCATTAAAAAGTACTTGCTGAGAACTTTCCTTTTGTTATTCTTAACAAAGGTGAGTATCTATAAGGTCAGAATAGTGTGGGTTATGCTGCCGTAAAACACAACTTCAAACCTCAGTGCCTTAAAAGAATAAAGGTTGATTTCTTACCCATGTTCCTGGACAATTGCACATTGCCAGGTACTTATCATGCATTCTCAGGTATGCTGGCTAATTGGACAGCCAACATAATGAATATTGCCTTTTCTAGCAGAGGGAAAAGACTGCTCTGGAGAGTCTCACTATAGCCGAGAAGTGACATACTTCAGTTTTGCTCACACCTCATTTGCCAGACTAGTTACATGACCCAAAACAACTATAAATAATCAAGAAGTGAAATCCTGTAATGAACTTGGAGCAGGGAGGACTGAGACTATGTTGCTGACTCCAGAATATCTATCCAAGAGTTACATCAAGTTTTCTCAAGGCATTAATGTTCTGGGATGATAGTTGATAGAAAGCTTTTAATTTTAACAACTGACAAATTGCTCTATATTCTTCTAAGGATTTTCTTAGAGCTATGCTGCTTTTGCTTAATGTTCCATTTCTTTTTTCCCATTTTCTTCGTTTTCCTTTTCTCCCTTTGTCTTGGGCAGGCATTCCAAGAATAAAAATTCAGATTGAGAGCATAGGTTGACATAGGCTGATGATTCAGAGTGAAAGTACAGGCAAGGGAAGTGTTTTCATTGGGAAAAGGTCAAAGACTTAAAGATGATTCTGCAATGTACTTTGTTGGATGATGAAGAGTATTACATAAAATTTAATTCTATTATAACTATCTTGAAGTACTTAAAGAATAATGAATTAGAAGATGTGGTAATAGAGTGACTGTGGAGGAAAATGTGGTCTCCATTATCCACTTAGTAATAGTTCAAAGATGTGGATATTAAAACCTGGTTTCATAGGTTGCATTAAGAAATGCTACCCAGGCCACCTCAGTTATTTCAAAGGGCTATGGATCTCTTTGCTTCCATCTGACATCCAGATGGACAGGATGGGGTGGCAAATGATGATTATTTTATAGTCTGCCTCCTGGGTTGTAGGGGTGGAGATGGAGTCTTATGAAATAAAATCCCGTCATAGATGCTGGAATGCCTAGCTATCATCAATTAGGTGGACTAGTGTCATTTTACCAAAACATAACTTCATTAATAATAATTTCCTAATAAAATTATTGTTTTAAAAATCCTCAACTTAATCCAGACTTAACTGATATTTGTCAAGGATTTCTTATGTGCATAGCACAATAATCATATACATTTTAGCTTGAGCTAAAGTTCTCCAGAAACTTCATCAAATCTAAGAATTTCATAGAAATTCTATAATGGTGATCACCATATTGGGGAATTGCATTTACTGAATATGTTTGTCAAAGATAAAGATGGGATGTATGCTTTCTCTACCAAGATAAGAACAATTGGAATTTAAAAGAGAAATGAAAAGCTATAGATGGGATAGGTTTAAAGTAAATGTTATAACTTACCCAAGAGATCTTAAAAGCAGTAGATTCCCAACTGCTAAAATAGGGTATGTTCCTTTAAATACGTACACCAAATGGAATCTTGAAGCCCTAAACCCTCTCATGATTCAGTCACAAGCTTTTGGACTTATGTAGTTTTATCTGAGGCACTCAGAGCACATCCACTTCATTAATGCTTGCTCACAATATTCTTAAGAACCAGGAAGGGGGAAATCAAATTATCAATTCAAACACAGAGAAACTGAGAGCAGAGGAATCAGTGACATACCCAAGATAAAAAACAAAAACAAAAACAAAAACAAACCACCTAAACTGGAGATAGAAGTAAATTCTGTCTTTCCAGCAATCTCACCCTATCCCGCATTGTCTATACAGTTCCCAAGTGACTCACTCTGTTGATAAACTGAAATATGCTGAACTCCATATAATTATGCTACCTAAACACAATTTAATGAGTGTGTAATAAAGCCCTTCTAGAGATATGAGGGAGGAATCGTTATTATTTTTTAGCAAACTACCCATCAGCCACTCAGAAATAATCTAACTCTAAATGCCATACTTTGAAATTAATACTGTGAATTCTATACTACAATTTTCACTTTTTCTTTCTCAAATGATAACTGATATGAGAAGGAAAGAGTTGCCAAAACACAATCTGTAAGCTGATTAAAACAACAGTTCTAATGAAAAAAATCTAAAATGAAAATTGAATGGTAAAAGTCAAAGTAATGCCCAAGCTAATAAATAAAAATGACTTTGAATTAGTATTTCTTATGGTACACACTGAATATTGTAGTCTTTATGAGGTCAGAAAATTAGTATTCCTTGCTAAACTGAATTGATTTTATATAAGCTACCTATTTGATCATGAGAACTAGAAGTATTTGAACTTTCACCCACATTAAGCCACAGGAATAAGCACAGTGAGTGGCCTGACATTCCTTGTGGAGTGGCCTGATCCTCAGCTAATACGTGTGGACACATTTGGATAGATTTTAAATTATCAGTAATTTGTGATTATGCAGTCAGGTGAATTACAGTTAAAGGTGTATGAAATTCCATCACTCGATAGTGGTTTTTGTTCAATGACAAAAGTCATTGAACTTGTAATGACTTATAGGGAATCTATCCAGAACTGAGCCATTTGTCATCCCAAATGCAAAATCCAAGCTTCACCTCATGTCAGATGTAAAATGATGTATGAATAAATATTTTATGATTATTACACCGCTAAAAACTAGGAGTTGGCAAGTGCTTCAGAGTGTTGGTGACACCTCTAGGCCTGTGTACATAAGCCTAAATTAGTAAACTTTAAGCTTAATAAATAAACTTTAAGTCTTAATCAGTAAATTTTACACATTTATAAAAAGATGAAAAATTATCCATACTCTTCTAGTGGCAGTAAAATGTATGAAAGGCAACGTGGTGAAACACAGAAAACAGAAATAGAACACAGAAAACCTAAATTCTAGTTGTGCTGAATTGCAATGTAATTATGGATTTTAATTATCTTAGACATTTTCTTCGTCTATTAAAACTATGAGAATAATAAATGTATAAAAGACTATACAAACATAAAACATAATTATATTGATAAAATTGAGATGCACTAATTGGAACATTAGTGTATCCTATGAACATAATTATTTAGGTTAACATTTACTTCGAATTACAATTACATTACCTAGTTTCAAAAACATTCTCTCAAAGAAATAATTTCTAATATTTGATACATTTATATTCATATATCTCAAAAGACACTGTCTAAAACGTATAATTGTGGATTAGTTGTACTTGCCTATATTTTCCATATGGGACTGTGATATTGTTGTATAATTTTTGTATGCTAATAAGATAACGAAAGGCTGGGGCCTCCCGAGTAACCTCAGACTGAGAGCTGGTTGCCAGAGGAACCAATCCTGTGATTAGTGGTTTGGGAATTTTAGCCCCATTCCTGGACTTTCAGGGTCAGGAGAGAGGCTGAAAGTTGAGTCAATCACCGATGGCCAGTGTCCAGTGATTTAATCAATCATGCTTATGTAATGACACCTCCATAATAACCTAAAAGAACAGAGGTTGGAGAGATTTCTGATTCCTGAACACGTGGAGGGTAGCATGTTCCAAGAGAGTTTGTAAATTCCCAGTCCCTTCCCACATATGTTGCCCAATACATTCTTCCATCTGACTATTCCTGAGTTGTCTCTTCCAACTGACTGTTCCTTTTATAATAAATGGATAATAGTAAGTAAAGTGCTTTTCTGAGTTCTGTGAACTGCTCTAGCAAATTATGAAATAGAGAAGGGCTTTGTGGAAACCCCAATATATAACTAGGTTGGACAGAAGTTGTGAATAACCAGGAACCTGCTACTTATGACTGACACCGAAGTCGGGGTAGTCTTGCGGAACTGACACCGATGTCGGGGTAGTCTTGTGGAACTGACCCCTCAACCTGTGGTGTCTCTGATAACTGAAGTTAAGCGCCAAAATTGAATTTAATTGTTGGACACCCAGTTAGCATCAGAGAATTGCTTGGTGTGGAAAAATCCATGCATTATGGTAACAAGAAGTGTTGTGAGAGCAGAGAAGAGAAAAAACAGGTTTTTCTTTTTCCTATATATGGGGAGAATGAAATGTTACTACAAGCACAAATACTAGCAAACCCGGATAAACATATCCATTCACTGTTTAGCAAACCCCCCTCCCCCACCACACACACACTATTTGGCACAAGAAAACGTTTGCATTTTTCATGCATTTCATCTTACAGTACTATGGGAATTTGGGATGGGTGTTTAGTAAATTGTTCACAATAAGTATTTTCAAATTTTCAGTTATAAGTAAAAGTTCCTGATTGATGAAGCACGAGTATGTAGTCATGTGATTTATGGGTCATGTCACTTATTCATATATCTGGAAGTGACTGATTTATTCATCCAGGGAGTTGTTTCCAAGTCATGCAACTGCTTTGTGAACACGACTGATTTAGAATTTCAGAAGATGATAAATGGTTCATGCACTTGATTTATAAGATTCATTACTGACTTATAATTCCTCCAGCTGAGGCAGAAGTCAGTGCTTAATACTTGGGCATAAACATCCATTTTATTAATAAAACAAGACTGATTTATTTTACTTATTCGTGTACACAGACTTCAAATTTTAGCTATAGTTATGTTTTAAATCCATGTGATTCTCAAGCAAGCCTAAGGTACAGATTGTATAATTACAATGTAGTTTACGGAAACTTCTATTGCA